TGGAGTTCCCCCCCTCTAGCGGAAAGCAGTTGCGCGCAAAGCCCGTCTCAACGCGAGCGCAGTTGGAAAGCCCGCTGCTTTTCATTGCTCTCACCTTCAATCCTATGGAAGCTTATGTACCACGCCAAGGAGAAGGCTGCGCTCAGGCAGACACACTTCAGGGCGCCTCTCAGCCTGAGCCTCATCTCCCAGCCACCCTGGGAATTCCGCGGCTGCCCCGCGCAACAATGGCACGTCGCCGCTTCTTTGTTGCCTCTTGGCTGCGGCGGATCCGAGATGCTGCTAGAATGATGCTCGACACAGCTAGGGCACCTTTCCCCCCCGAGATTCCCCCCTCAGGGCGGCTTCTTATTGGATATCCGGCCTCTCAGATCGCGCAGGTGTGTTGCCTGGGATCACATTTCGCAGAGCTCGCATCCCGGCTTTTGCAACCGCGGGACCCAAAGTCTAAGTTGCTGCGCGAGCAACCGGTTACTCCCGTGCAGCTCTTCCGTTCCCTTGGGAATTGGATCACAGGCGCCAGCCAAGTATTACCTATAGGATTCTGGACTAATCCCAAGGAGAGTCTGTGGAAGTCGAATCAGAGAGGAGTTCCCCATAATATGTCAAGTTGTTACCCCTCTTGCTATCTTACCTTTAGAGAAAATATTTGACTAGTAATCCCGGTGAGCAAATAATGCAAAGAGGATATCAATTCTAAAAAAAAGATTTTTCTCTTTTTTTCCTATGATTTTTGGACCTTTATAAATATATGTCAACATATGAATACGCTATGTTAGGGATCATGTGACTAAGGAATGGGAGATATGGAATGTAGAATGCATCTGAAACCATTCCTCTTTCATAGGAATGCATGGATGGGTGGATTTCTTGCTGGAATGTTTTTCTCTGCAGACTTGATCCGGCTCATTTTTTAATGTGATATTTGTTTTTGCTTCCCTGAACATGAAATGCCCTGTTGTTCAGTATTTGGATAGGCATTTGAATTGTAAGCCACCCAGAGTCACTGACTGAGATGGGTGGCTATGAAAATTGAATAAATATAAATAAATAAATGATATTAATGGACAGATGGATAGGATTTTGAGGCTGATGTCTTTCCCTCATTCTGTAGGCAGGAATAAAAAACATCTCTTACAATTAAATGTTCACAGAAGGTTTAAGTCTTTTATGTTCACTTAAGCAAAATTAAATAATTTCATAGTAATTCTGCAATCTGAACCTAATTGAAGATTTTTAACATTTTAGCATACCATTTTATAAAAATTATAGGCATTAACAGCAGTATATGTTTAGTTCATGTACAAATGATACAGAAATTAAAAAGTTCATGTGAAATCTATCAATTTCCAGTGGAACTTGTCAAGTACAGTATCAGAAGAGTTAAAGGCCTACATTTCTTACTTCAAACTTGGTTTCCAAAGATCAAGGCTTATTGTTGCAACATGCATTTTTAAACTGCTAATCTTTACGATAATGGAACTTGATGTTTTCCTGTTGAGCCAGATGTATTTGACTGACTACTGTTCAAAAACACAAATACAGAGGATTGCAAGAGTTTTTGTTCTTAAATTTAAATATCTGATTTTCACAGAATTTTATGTTGTGGTATTTGTATTTATAATTTCTAAGTCATTTCTAATAATTTCATATTTTTATGTTTCTACAGTTCAACTATAAACAGATATAGAGCAGTATCAAGATGTATATATGTTCTTCCCATGTAATGTTGGCATTATAATTTCCAACAGAGTAGTTTAATAGAAATGTGAGTGTTATGTAATTTGGATTCAAACTAAAATGTTTTATGTAAATTATGATTTTTAGCACAGGAGCTTTTATGCTATACATTAATATCCTTAACATGTTTTGGAATTATCTTCCTGTATTAACAATTTACAACAACAGTTTTACTATCCCTCTTAATAGTCATTATGAATCATACATGATTATTTGTTTATGGTACCCATGAGTGTACTAGAGTGTGTAATGAGTGTGCTTTTATGGCAACATAAATTGCGTTTCCTATAGAACTTGTGTGGCAATTTCTAGAATAAGAAACCTGTAAGTAAGTAGAGAATGAGAACATTAATTTAAAGGAATCATATTATTTGATATGTATCTGCTTTGGTGTTCATGGCATATATTTCATAATTAAACACAAAATTATTAGTATATAGTAATCAAACTAATATTTGTGAGGCACTTATATTGTGGAATAGTATTAGAATATATGTATGTATGTATGTATGTATGTATGTATGTATGTATGTATGTATGTATGTATGTATTTCTATAATATACAGTTGAACCAAATTTATCTTGGATTGTAAATGAAGTATCAAGTAGATAGCATGAGTGCAACTATGCTTGTTACAACTTTATACTTTAATCTGTGAAAAGTTTTTTCAAAAAAATTGTGTTAAAACAATGTCATGAAAATAAAATAAAATATATATTAAAATTTCAAATAGTGGCTTGTTAATCTTAATTACTAATTTATTAAAACAAATGTAATAATCTTAATAATGTAGTGAATTACTTTTATCAAAATTTATTATTGTTACAAACAGTGCCTAAGAATGACAGCTGTTTAAAGTTGAACAATGGGTACATAAATATCAGAATTCTACTACAAAATATTTTAAATATTAAAAATAGAAAAGTGATTTTTTAAAAATAATATATGGTCAAGAAGAAATTTGAAGAAGCTGAAGGCATCACATAACTCTGAGCATGTGCTTTGAGAACTGGAGACAGGTCAGCTGAGAAAAAAGTTTTACTCCAAGGATTTCTAACTTTTGATCTGAACAATTTCAAAACCTGTATGTGTAAGATAGAAATTAGTAAGGCTTTGCTAAATTTACCAATAATCTGGACATAAACATTGGCCTAGTTCACAGTAAGCCTTTAATTAAATTTTGCCAGAGCCATTAGACCTTTTTCACAAATTTTCTCACAAAACTAGAAAGACTGGGAAAAGGAAGTACTCTTATTGTAGTGACATCTGGAGAAAATAAAAATCAGGTTTTTCCCATAGGATTATTTCTGCATATTGGGAATATAATAGCAAAGGTAGTGGTAGTTCTACTTAATCCCATGGTACTGTGTTGTGAAATTCCTCAACCATTTAAACATTTATATGAAGCCAATGAGTAAAGTCATGTTATCTGTCAAAGATGGCATTATCAAAATACTGATGATACCCAGCTGTTTTTCCTCATCATCTGAAGCAGGAGATGTCAATAATGTAAGGCTTTGCTGGGAGGCATGTTTTTTATCTAATCAGTTACCTATCTATTGGGGGAGTAATTTATGAAAAAAGAAATACATATTCCTATCATTCCATCTGGCATTTTCTCTTATCAGATTTTGCTGTTTCAATAGCTATGATTATTCAATAAGAATAGATTGGCTATGATAATTCATAGTTTGGTAACTTCCAGGCTGGCTCTGGGCCTCCATGGTCATTTGTTCTGTGGCTGCAGAAGACATAGGATACTTTGCTTAAGAATGTCTGAGACAGGGACAGGAATAGCAAAATCAACCTTACATAAATTGAATGCAGGTATATTTATGTTAAGCATAAATAAACCTAGCTAATTTCTGTAATCTTGAGCACTAAGTAGACTCGGAAACTAATGTACCATATGCAGACAGATGGAAGAAGAGGGAGTGTACTATATTTAATCACTGCACTTCTTCTGGAAATTCGTTTTTTTGAATTCTGCTTTTTTTAAAAAAAAACTTCATGGTTTCCATAACCCAACAGAAGAGAAATGGCATTCTTACCAAGCAGTTTCCTGATTTGGGGTTGGCTTTGGGGTGGGGGGAGGAAATTGACTGCACAAATGCAATGACCTTTTGCCATCCCCTGAGAAGTCACAAATTCTTGCCCTAAAACTACCAGACATTATTGTGAGGGCTTCAGCACTCACTGAGGTGTGTAAAAGGTAGAGAAGGAAGGCAAGTGCTTTTGATTTCAGGTTGTAGTTCCCTCCATCTCAAGGGACAACTTTGGTTTTCTGAAGCAACTTCTGAAGCATTCTGTCCTGTTGGTTCTTCTCCCGTTTCAAGTTTTATTCAACTATAGGAATCTTCAATTTGATAAAGTAAGTACTACAGTATTATAATATATTAATCTTAACTATAGACTGTTGTTCATTTGTTTCATTTATGTCAATAAGATACGACAGCGGTTCTCAAACATTTTGTTCTCAGGATCCTTTTACAATCTTAAATATGACAGAGGACACAAAAAGTTTTGGTTTATGTGGGTTATATCTATCCACATATATTGCATTAGAAATGTTAAAATACTTATTTGACTTTGTATACCCTTGAAAGGTTTTTGCGGATCTCTAAGGTTCTCTAGTGAAGTCCACACTTGGAGAACCATGAGATACCAGAGCAGAGGATGAACAGCTGAAACATGATTGATACTTTTACATACATGGAATACTTCTCCACTTCCAATTCTGGACTGAATAACAGAATAGGAAGGGACCTTGGAGGTCTTCTAGTCCAACCCCCTGCTCAGACAAATGGTTATCCAATCTCTTCTTAAAAGCTTCCAGTGTTGGAGCATTCACAACTTCTGGAAGCAAGTTGTTCCACTGATTAATTGTTCTAACTTTCAGGAAATTTTTCTTAGTTCTAGGTTGCTTCTTTCCTTGATTAGTTTCCATCCATTGGAAACTGGAAGCAGTTTCCTTCCTGCCTTCAGGTGCTTTGGAGAATAGCTTGACTTCCTCTTCTTCGTGGCAGCCCCTGAGATATTGGAGCACTGCTATCATGTCACCCTAGCACAAAAGGACGCTTTATGACGACCGAGGGATCCCCGCCGTCGCTAAGTGATTCACTGGGGCGTCACCACCTTTCCTTCCAGAAGACGGAACCGACCTCCTCCAGGCGCATTAACACGCCCAGACGCCGCGACCTCTCAGCTGTTGTGGCAACGGTTGCCTTGTAATGGCGGCGGCGGCGGCGGCGGCAGTTACCAGCCTCTTCTCGCTGCTGGACCTGATCCGATAGCTTGAAAGCCCCGCCCAGCGCAAAAGGGGAGATTCGCATTCGCCTGTTTGGACTTGGCGGGCTTTCTGTGGTCTCCATGGAGGCCGACGTGCCAGTGCAAGTCGTTTCAAGGGAGGTGGGAATGAAAGAAAAGAAAAACAAAAGGGAGGGGAATGGTACGCCTAGTTCCAAAATGACAGGAGTGGATAAATGCCGTTACCTCCTACCCGGCCCCATCTCACTTCCGGGTCTGTGGCAAGGCAACTTCCTTTTGGGATAAGAAGGAACGGCTGGTGAAGGTGAAGCGAGGCTGTGGCCAGTTTTGATGGGTTTCGCTGGAATGATGTAACCAGCCTGGTAACGGTTAAAGGAGGGCGGGCACCCGAGCGACGGTGGGGTGGGGAATAAGGGAATCTGCCCGGGGAGCGGGACGGTGGAGGAAATCCTCATATGGACTCGGTTCTGTGCAGCTAGCTGCCAAATGAAAAA